TGTAGGGCCCACCTCCTGTTATGGCCCACCTCTGTACTTATATATACGTGCCTGGTGCACCGATCAATATATCGCGATTGCACAGCCATAACTTGTCCTTCTACAGGAAAGTTACCAAAGCTTGGTGGTATCTGGCTAATGAACTGGTTTGAGTGTAGATCAAGTTGCCCCAACTGAGACAAATTTGACAAGGATGACGGAATGACCCCCGTAAAGAGGTTTGTGTCTAAATCTATCTGTTGCAATGTGTTGAGAGGCCCAATCCACTCTGGAATCACACCTGTAAAGTGATTTCCTCCCAGTGATACAACGATCAAGTTGCGAAGGTTTGTTATACCATAAGGAAAATCTCCTGATAGTTGATTTTCATCCAAGTATAGATACTGGAGCAGATTGGAAATGTTACCTAGTGAACGCGGTACGTGCCCTGATAGATGATTGTAACTCATGGAGAATACCTGTAGCTTTGTGCAGTTTCCTAAGCTGTCCAAAAACTCCCAATCTTTCTTGCTGTGTGCTTGGAGCTGATTATATTCAAGATTGAAGCTCAAGAGTTTGGTAAGTTTGCCAATCGTGGTGGGCACCAACCCGGTGAAGTTGTTATCCGCCAAATCAAAGAGGTGTAGATTGGAAGCATTCGTGAAAGAACTAGGAATGTGCCCTAGAAAGAAGTTGCCACCTAATGCAAGTTTCTGCAGATTGGGCAGAGAGGTACATAGATTTGGTGGTACCTCTCCACTTAGATCATTGAGAGGAATGGCAAGGTTGATGAGAGTAGACAGATTTAAGACGCTTTGTGGAAACCTGCCTGCTAGCTGATTGGCACCTGCATACAGGTGTTGCAAGCGCGAAAAAGATGCAAAATCACTTGGGATATTTCCCCGGATGTGATTATACGCGAAACTAATCATGGTTAGTGTTGTGATATTGGCAAGAGAAGTAGGTATGGTGCCGGCAAAGTTATTAAGTGCGATCCGCAGCACCTGAAGGTCAGGAGGCAAATCAGTGGGAAATTGGCCAACTAGATTGTTAACTGAAACATCTAGTACCTTGAGCTTTGAGCAGTTTGCGAAACTCGGCATATTTCCTTGCAACGTGTTATTATTCAAATGCAGGGTTCGCAGGCGACGCAGGTGACCGAGGGAGGGTGGGATCTCTCCGGCGAGTGTGTTCTCCGTGAGGGCTAGAGAGTGAAGGAATGTTAGGTTGCCAAGTGAAGGAGAGATGTGTCCAACCAAACCTTGACTTACAAGGTTTAGCG